GTCGCACAGGTAGGCATCCAGGCAGGTCTTGAATATCTCCAGAGAAGGAGACTCCACCACCTCCCTGAGCAGCCTGTTCCAGTGCTCCGTCACCTCACTGTAAAGAAGTTCTTGCGCACATTTGTGTGGAACTTCCTATGCTGCAGTTTCTGGCTGTTTCCCATTGTCCTGTCTCCACTCACCACTGAAAAGATTCCGTCCTCGCCATTCTGCCCCCCACACCTCAGATATTTATAGACGTGGATCAGGTCCCCTCTCAGTCTTCTTTTCTCAAGGCTGAACAGACCCAGCTCACTCAGCCTTTCCTCATAGGGGAGATGCTCCAGGCCCTTCACCCTCTTTGTAGCCCTCCGCTGGACTCTTTCCAAGAGATCCCTGTCTTTCTTGTACTGGGGAGCCCAGAACTGGACGCAGTACTCCAGATGAGGCCTTACGAGGGCAGAGTAGAGGGGGAGAATCACCTTCCTCGACCTGCTGGCCACGCTCTTCTTAATGCATCCCAGATGCGTTAAATGCAGAGCAAATGCAGAGCAAATCAAAATGTGAAAGAAAGGCACAAAAGCTTTGCGAAACTGCCAGTCTAGATAACAGGTACTGATGTCATTCATAGGGAAAAAATACTTATCCAACAAGTCAGAGGAAAAGAAACAAACGTACTTTATTATTTAGAAGAATGACCAGAAGTGTTTTCTCTGACAATAAGAGGTCTTCTTTTCAGTGCAAGATATAAAGCTTACAAATGTAGGAAGCATAGTTTAATGAGAATCTAATTTTCAGTTTATTAATTTGTAACCTCTCTTAATCTATTGTATTCACCTGACTCTTCTGCATAAGATTCAAAGAGTACTGTCATTTAATTTAGTTATAATTCTAGTGCCCTTCTTGGTCCCCATAAAGAGATAATAAAGAACACTTGTTTGCTGGAGATAATACAATGTGTTCACTATGAATATCAGAGTACTTTTTGTCTGTTAAAATATAATGAATTCTGTACAGGTGCAAGATGAATTTAATTATATTGCAACCTCTGTTTAATAATAGCTGTTCTTTACATATTTTGAAACCTGTGAGACCTTTGAAAAACTAGTGGCTTTAACTAGACAATTATAAAAATAAACTGGAACGATATTCCTTCAAGGTAGAATAGTATATATTTAAATTTAGAATTATTCAAAAAATGCAATGATATGCACCATGGAAAGTTATGTGAAGTGGTTCTGTACTGCGATCATTTCAAAACTAACTGCACTTACACAGAAAAGCAAGACACAGCAGTGGCGACATCCCACTGGAAAAATGCAACAAACAAAGAAAAGTGACTCAATTAAGTATGGAGAATAATACTGAAAATAAGATTTTTCATTGCGTAACAAAGTTATACTCTCATCCTAGATACTCAGTTTTGGCTATTATCAAGAATATAGTGCACAAATATTTAAGCCTTCAGAAAGTCAAATGGCAAGAAGGCACGAGAATATTTTTCCCTGTGATGAATGAACTAAAAGCAGATGTACATTGATTAGTGCTTTGCCTTCACTTTGAATTTTTATCCTTGCCTTGTAGAAAACTTAATTTCCGAGAAGCAATAAGACTGTGAACAAATGATGGCTATAACAACCAAGCACAGAGACACCTAGACAGAAGAGTGAACAGATGTCACCACAAACAGTAATCACAGAAAGCACTGACTGGCTTTTGTTAAGTGCTGGGTATGTCATAGACAAGATGCTCCTACACACTCACTCAAGTACGCCTGAGCTGATCCAATTAACTTCAAGGAACAAGGATAAACTATAGGGGACTCCAGGTAAGGTGCTGACTTGAGCTGAACAAAGTTTGATAACTTCAGAAGAAAATAAATTATTGAAATCAGCCAGACAAGAAGGCTGGGGATTTGAGGTAAATGATACCTTTTCCAAACCAACAGATACAAACTTATACCCTCACTATAGGAAGCTTCTGAAAAGGTTTGAAAACCTAACTGCCCTTTAACTTTTTTTTTTTTTTTAATTTATTAATTAATCTTTAATTAAAAGAAAGAAACTGCAAAAGAAAAAAGAAATGCATAAAAACATAAAAAGAGACAAGCTCATTCCAGTTATAGCCTACACCTAAGTGATAACTTTATCTCTTTTTTTCAGCTGTGTGCATTATTACAGAAATGGTGTAAAGGTATGATGAATAGTAGGAAAAAAAGTCTGGAAATGGGAGATAGAAAAGTGTGAAAAAGTTGAAGAAAAAAAACTGTGGAAACAGAAGATGTATAAATCTTCACCTGTGAGAATGCTAAAGCCTTGAATGCTCTCACTCTGTGGAAGCACAATCTCTGTTACAGTTGCCTGAAAAAGCTGGCAAATGAAAACACATCTTTGCACGGAATTTCAATAAGTGAGTTGAGAGAGATGGAAGCCAATAAGTATTGAAAATAGTAATAATAGTAATCTTTTAAACTGCATTTACAGAATGCAGAAAGAAGGACAGGAGCTATCTGGACACATATAAGCCTGATCCAGATAGGATGGTAGGCTTAAGACAAAGACCTAAACTGAGAATGAGAATAGGAAATAAGATCAAATGCTGAGATGTGTCGAAGACAGATCATATCACACTAAATCAATATTTTTTGAAATAATAACAATTTCCTAGGTAAAATATGTAATATATCTAAAAGGTTTGATACATAGTGCATTGGAAATACACTGGAAATTATTAGCTATACTGAAAATTAAGAGAATTAGGAGAAGAAAAATGAGCTGAGTATTCACTGTCAAATTCAGAAGTAGCCAGATCGGCTGGTAGGGGTAGCTATCATGAGGCTTCAGTAAGGAAATTAATGGAGTTTTTCAAGGATCCATCATGCAGTTAATCTTACCATATGGCATGTGTACCATACTTCATTTCATGCAATCACAGAATTACAGTCTGGCTTGGGTTGGAAGGGACTTTAAAGCCTATCCAGTTCCATCCCCCTGCCGTGGGAAGGGCTGTGGCCCACCAGATCAGGCTGCCCAGGGACCCATCCAACCTGGCCTTGAGCGCCTCAGAGAATGTGGCAGTGCATCAAAGAACAACCTCATAGCATTGATTTGGTTCCTGCGACAGAAAAACAAGATGTGCTCCAGGAGCATGAGACATGTTTCAGTGGACAGTGGACATTCAGTCTAACAGGACCAGGTGGGAGCTAGTTTGAAGAAAACCCTCTGAAATGCATATGCTGTGGATAATGGGACCCCATCTCTAGCTGCAGATCTGCTCCTGTTGGGCTGCACTGACTGCTAACATAGCCTAAGTAGGGATGCACTGTTAATAAGAGAGTGATGAGAAGGAACACTGAGTTGTCTTAATGAGCTGAAATTTAATAATAACAGTGGGAAAAAAAATGTGTACTCAGAGATTAAAACAAATATTTCCTACATAGCATAAACCTATTCTGAGGACAGAAAGATCTGTGTTAAACCTGTTCTACAGTGAATCACAGGATAACTGAGCAACTAGTTTGGTGAATTTAAAAATAGAAAATCCCCAGAAATAAATATCAATACCTACAAGATTATTCTAGGCATGTTGTTTTAACATGTGATATCTCCGATAACTGCAACTAATTCTCTCCGCAGTTTGGTTTGACAAAGAGCATGAACTTGCCTACGAGTAGCTAAGTCATACTAATTGAAGCACTCCTGTACTATAATAGGCCACTTATACCATTTGCATTTTCTGATATGCACGCACACAGTCTTGCTTAAGTATTTCTACTTATTCATGATATTATTATATTTGGCATGAAAATCAAAAACAGAGAAAAGGCAGTGTTGGGAAGATAAAAGGCAGAATTCCCCAAAAAGGACCATAGAAACTCTCCTAGAAAGAACAAGCGTATCTGTAAGAATTTAAGACTAAAGCAATCCAGGAGTTCAAAATCTACCATAAAAGCTATTGAGAGAGAAGACATGCTTCAAGTTGAAACTATTTCCCAAATTTCACTCAGGAGAAACTGAAGGACTTGTATTTCTATATTTTAAAATCAGCATCTGCAGAAGTCTTTCTAATATAGCTACACCAAAATTAGGTAGCTGTCTAGTATATGATTAGGGACAGATGTAAATGCCTACCTCCAAAGCCAGTAGACTCCAAAATTGTTTTTATAACATTACTTTCCATTTTCCTTCAGAACCAGATTGGTGAACATCAGCTTACCTTTCCATCATTTACACAGCATAACCATCAGATCCGCTGTCAGGATAAGGAACACCATATCAAAATCCTTTTGCTCCTGAGAAACCTCAAGCCAAGACCTTCCCCTTTATTAAACCATATTATTTACAGCTGTGTGCTTAATAGCCTCAGCTGCTGAACTCTGTTCAGCTCTGTGTGTAACAGCTGAGTTTGCTGGCTCACAGGGAGAGTGAACTGGGCTCTGCAGAGGAGCAGTTAAAATATCAGTGTGGCTAGAGCACAGGCCCTGCTTCAAGATTTTTATCCAGTGAGTACTCCATGGGAAGAACAGAAGCAATCCTGGAAGGGAAAACACAACTCAGCCTTTCTGCTCCATCGCTGCAGCCATACTCTTTATTTAATGATGTCTTGCCCGATGAGCTTTGTCAGGAGGAAGGGACAGATCATAATATCACCCTAAGCCATGGACTGATTAAGATGCTTTGTATGAGAAAGAAAATGTGCATTTTTTTAGATGGACTTATGCAGAGGAAGGAGCTGAGCTCATTGCTTGTACAATATCAACAATTTTCTCCTGGATTAATACTTTCAAAATGCTGTACCATAACATCTTCAGAGTGCTAGATATAAGGCTTAGCTTCTTATTGCATGTAAAGGCTTGTTGTGCAGTTGTACACTTATTTTCCCTGATAAGAAAGCTAGTTTAAAACTTCCTGTCTTTGGCTTCGTTTTCATCCTGCAGTTGTACTGTCACTGTGGGGGCTGTATAGAGCATCAATAACCGAAATGAGCAACATCCATAAAAAAAGTCTGCGAACTGAATCAGCAAGAGTGAATATAATATTTATTCTCTAAAGATAACAAGATTTAGGACACATTCCTGTCTTCATCAGGGTCCTTACTTGCCATCCAAATTTGGGCAACAGAGAGTTCAGACCGCTGCACCTGTAGCGGTGTAGGTTTCTGACCTCTACATATGAAGGCTAGTGACCACACCTCTTGAATGTCTACAAGTTTTTCTGACTAGACTGAGTCAGAACCATTCAAGGAATACGGAAAGATGCAATGCCCTTCATTTCCAGACTGATGCCTAACCTTGTGGTTAGTGTATCTGGGCAGAAATAGAGTCCTGGAAATGTTTTAAAAACATTATACCTCTCATCAGACTCAGCACCTTAGACTTTATGCCTTATGAATGACTTGGCACACATCTTTAAAGTCTTGAATCTGAAAACCCAGCAAAACAAGGATATTGTTACTTTGAAGAGTTATCATGTTACTTAATATTTAGTAGACGAGATCATTTCTGAAACTTCTACATGTCATTACTTGAATGAAATGTTCAATTTTAGGGTAATTTGGGAATCTTTCTGTAATCAGTTTGTCAATCACACAACTTTGTATTTGCTATTTTAATTTCTTGCTAATTTAAGTCACTGACTTCACCTTGGTTTCCCAAGCAGGTAATTTTTTTCTGAAGTAAGTTTTTCAGTACCAGATAGTGTAATGTGATAATTAAAAGCCCAATACCTGACATACCTACAAAAAGGACAATTCTCACGTACAACAGGGAGCAAAAACAAATAGTCTTTTAAGCTAAGACTTAATTTAACTATTCATGAAATAAAAGTTTACGTCATTTGTGCCTAATATTAGTGTCTAATAGTAGTGTCTAATAGTGTCTAAGCTTCCTTATTGTGAAACTAAAAAGGACAGGATGTTCTTGTAATACAAAATTTCCTTTTATCAAAAGCATTTTGAATAAATTTCATACTACGTTAAAAAAATAAATATCAGAAGAGCAGTAAATTCAGCCTCTACACATGAAGAGGTATCACTGACAGTCATAGTCAAATATCTAGTGGTGGGCTAATGTATTTAGCATAATATTATTTATAGCACTATGATACCTAATTATACTTCAAAATGGAAGAACTGAGATTATTGAGGAAAAAATGTCTTACATAGAAAAGATACATAGATACACATTTTATTTTTGTTTCAAAAAATAGCAAATGTCTTAAGAACACAAACCAGAAAGTTATTAAAAGCTTCATAGCAAAATATTTAGCCAACTTTATTACAATATATAGGCTTGAGGTTCTAATAGTTAACACTACGCCTCAATTCACTGAGCAAGTAATGCTCCTGATACATAAACATTGCGCAGTTGAAACTCGGAGCTGAATATTAAAAAAAAAAAAGAATGTTTTTATCTTTGATCTTTCATAACCAACTGAAGTACAACAACATTTTTACGGGTTTGATTCTTTTTGGGAAAAGCCTTTCAAAATAATTCCTGAGCATTTAAGTTAAGTGTACATATCCGAAGTGACCAATTAAGACCAGCATCCTGCTAGGTGAGCCTTGCAACCAGAAGTGACATTCTCTACTACAGCAGTCATGGCAGGATTAAAGCCTAAATACCTTAATGAAATGAATGAAAACTTTCTGGTATGCACACCCAAATTCTCACTTTATTTATAAACAGCCTACAACTGCCAATTGAGAAGTTTGCTGCGATGAGAAGAACATTGTTCCAAATGTCACAAACTTTTGCAATATCTTGTAATGCAAATTACTCCAGCTAAGCTTTCAGTGATCCACCATGCCAATGTGAAATCTAAAGCAAAATTCAGGCAAGGGGCTTTCGTACTGGGTTAGTAGGCATATTGAGTTGTACGCTTTGTATCAGCTATTATGACCATAGAGATCTAGTTATTTATCTTCTTGCTATTGAGAGGCAATGTATTCACTTTCCATTTTTCTCTTCATAATAATGTCACAATATCATTTCACTATATATCACATTTCTAAAATCATGTAATCATTATGTTCCTATGATTTTAAATGAATCCAAATAGTTTGATTTTAAAACTGTTGCCAATCAAAGTGCTTTAGAGAGCTGACCCCAGAAGGATTTTCAGATTTCTTTAATATTTTTTTCTGGAATTACTGGTTTATATAAACTATAATGTATGTAGAAACATTGTTGTACAAAGTATAGTAAATAATTCACAACACTAGTATTCAACTTGATCAATAACAATGAATTAACAGAAATGTTCTTAATTATACTCACTCTTCTTTAACCACCCACCTCAATATGTAAACAAGTTTCTCAAATGATAGTGGCAAGATTATAGTTACTGAGATGTACCATATGTGAAAGACAACACCCAGGATAAAGGCCTGAATTTAACAATTCCAGTATGAACTGCGGCTCACTTCCCATTCTAGAACATGAATACAATTTTTAGAGTCTTGCAGTTGTTAAATAAAAGAACTTATAAATAAATTGAGCTTTTATTCTAATGCAGGCTTTTGGAGTCAAATTGGTAGAAACTAACATGCCTATATAGAACAGAAGGAAAAATGAGTTGGAAAAAATTTGGAACAGTTGTACCAAAACTCTCTGAGCACTGATAATGTACAATATTGCAACTGTATGGTACTATGACAAAAAACTTGGCCTTACAAAGATGAAGATCTGTTTGCACAAGCCAATTTTAATATGCTATTAAGCACTGGGTTAAAAACAGGCTTGTACAATTTTCACCGAAAAGGAAACACTTGTCAAAATGTTTTGTTTTGTTTTTTAAATACTGTATGATATCTTGTAGATTCCAATTTAAATATTAAAACCTTGTTTCTGAAGTTCCCCGCTTTAAATTGTTACTCAAAAACTCATCATGTTCAAAACTCAAATTATTATGAGATCTTGATATCATAAGAAGCTTTTCCTTATTGGTAAAGTCTTTTTTTATCACTGCTTGTGGCACAAGTAACCTATCCATTGGGTCTTCCTTGTTTTCTAATTTCATATATCCTTTACTGTTGCTCCGATCCAGCCTGGGCCAGCTGGGATGTTTCCTTTGTTCAGCTTGGACAGTGAGTGTAGATGGACCCCTGTCCAAATCCAGGGACTTTGAATGTGAAGACAGAAGATGCAAAGATGTGTTGGAACCAAACTGTTTCCTGGCAGCACCAGGGGATAAAAGCTTTCCTGTGCTTGGCCCAAGGATCACAGAAGACTTGAACTGATCATGTTGAGTGTCCACAAATGAATTATGTCGTGGTAGCATGGCCGGCTTGCAGGATTCATTGGTATCAGTTAATGGAATGGCCAAAGAGTCCATCGAGAGATTTCTGGATCGACTCCTTGTGATCTCAGAGTCCTCAGTTATGTTGTCTATACTGGGCTCATCAATAACACAATTATTCAGTTTAATTACCGGCAGTGTGAAAGCACTAATGGAAGATGATACAATGGATTTTGTTTCACACCTTATAGAACTAGTATTTTTGTCATCTGAAGCCTTGCTGGAATGAGGGCAAAGTCCAAAGACTGAACCAGATTGGTCAGTCAGCAGAGGTGGTAGTAGGCTAGCAGTGGTCCTATCTTCATTTAGAGTAATTTCATCTTCTTCAGCAGAACTATCCATTCTAAAATTACTTTTGAAGCCAGAGAAAGGTGCAATTGTGTTAGCGGCCAGCCGGGATGCACACAAGCTCCCACTGTGCCTGAGTTCTCCTTCCCCTAACAAACCAGCAAAGGCACCACTCAACTGCTTTTGTTCCTTGATCCTCAAGGTGTGGATGTCTATTACAGTGGAGTATATGTCTCTCATGTGTATGATTTTTGTTTCCTTGTCGCGGTTTTCATGGAGAATGGCATTTGCACAAATAAAAATGAAGATTCCAATACCCATGGTAAAAGGGCCCAACATTTTCATCTTATCTGAGTGCACATGCTGCTCAAAGAAACGAAGTAAAATGCTTCCTTGGTTTCTTAGGAGCTGGGTTTCATTAACTGATACACTATCTTCAGATGCCAAAAGCTGTTCCTTTTGGGGCCAGTATCCAAGGACGGCCATTGCAATTCCCAAGAATGCAATAAGCACTCCCAAAACAAGGAAGAATCCTGATGGAGAATAAAGTCGAATTTTGCCCCTGACAATGACTACATCTGTCCTGGGTCGGCGTCTGACTGGTTTCTTCTCCTCACATGCTGGTGCTGCGGCAAGATTTACATGCTGCTGAGATCTGGCAGAGTCTTGCCTTTTCAAGGCAGCCAGTCCTGTTATGACTCCTCCGGTTGCTATCATAGCTCTATGTTGTGTCCTGGGGGAAAAAGAAAGCAGAAATATTGATGCAATGAAAGTTTGTGTACGCTTTGTTAATATAAAAATATTTATTGATAATTAAATTATTAGTACTTTTTGAAAGCTACTACATCTTAATCCAGTTAGAACATAATAGAAGTTTTGATTCACGTGGCATTTTAAAAATGTTTTCATGTATCTTTTATAACTATATATACAGGCAATAAATCCTCCATCAACGATGCAGACATATAAAGAAAACTAGTGCTCTTTGTGACGACATATAAGGCTTAAAGACAAAAATATTCATAAATTTGTACAGATGGTTTATGTCAGAACTGATCTCCAGGAAAATAAGTAACATATTATCACCTTGCATGCGTTTCAGATAATTTTACCACTTTAGCTAGTAGTTCTTTTAAAATCTTCCATGACAATTATTATGATTACAGACCATTCCACACATCATCTTTAAGAGATCTTGCCCTTTATGTTTCAACATACATTAATATATTCTTATTCTATCATTCAAAGAAGCTTTTATTAAGCCTATTAAGACCACTTGAATCTCAACTACAGAATAAATTCTGTGTTCCTGAATAAAGCTGATCCTTCTCTCTGCATACCTTGCATACAATCTCCACTGTTACATCACCAACTACAAACTCGGTTTTCAAGCTCATGAATTCAAACCTTCACTATTTTTATGACTTGGTTTCATGTTTTTTCATTTTAGACTTTTTACACCTGGGTGTCTGCTATGTGGAAAACATGAACCAGCATGGCTTTATAAAAAGAAAGTCAAGTTTGGCCATTTATTTATGAGTAAAAGTAATGAATAAAATGACACAGTTCAGGATATTCAGAATATTAATCATTACTTTAAAAGACGTCTTATAATTAGAATCTATTTTCAAAATAGATTCTAGGCTTAATTAATGGATTAGAATGAATACTAGACAATATTACAAAATACAACTAAGATGCAATACGCTGGGTATGAAAAAATGTTTTCTTTGATGGTATTGCTAAGCTCAGAGATAAAGAAAGGCTGATAGCCTGCTGCAGAGAAAAAGGTGAAATGTCAATGCTGGGGATGGTTTAACAAGCAGATAAAGTAGAAGTTAGACTGAGAGCATAAAGTGAAAGGCAGGGAAGCAAAGTAAAAGCAAACCAGTGACTGCTTGCAATTTGCAGAAAATAATTTTCATCAGATATCTTTAAATATTTAGATTTTAAAAATCCTAACAGTGACATCCACGCAAAAAGGAAAGGTCTATTATGGTATGAGAAATAGACAGACTGTTATTCGGACATTATCATGAATTTCCAACAAGTATCAGGTAAGCATATTTCTAAACAGAAATTGCTCCAGACTGCTATTATTCATGACTATGAAATTAATAGGGAGTTTGAGGACAGTGGCTAATGGAAGTACTAATCCAGAAAAAAACGTATCCGCTGTTCATTATTATTTGTTCAGCAGTAATTCAGATAATAGACAAAAAGTGGCAACTTCAATTCTCTCCCTAGACCATCATTATTAAAAGGCAGAGTGCTTCCTCTCCTTCTGTGAGAAATCTTTCCTTTATGAAGGGAAAAACTGAAAAAAAAAAGCCTGAGGTACTAAGTATACAGCATTTTCTGAATTTATGAAAGCAGACTTGAAAGGATTATTTAAAGAACTTCAGCAATTTCACTTGTAGTGTCAGGTTTCTGTTCCTAAACTCTCTTATTGTAACTCACTTCCATTTTTATGCTATCTGGGCAACTGCAATTGTTTCATGTCAATTAATTTCTTGAATGCTTCACAAAAAGCCATATTTTATGTAATAAATTTTCAAATCCCCCAAAGAAAGTTTTTTGAGGTAGTATTAAAAAAAATGAAAACAAACCTTTTCACATGTTTTTCTATAAGAGTTTCTGCCAAAAGCAAAAGATTATTCTTCCGTAAAACAATGTTTGAGTCTCTGGGCAGAAATAAGTAGGACTTACTCATTAAAAAAGCCATTGTAATTTGTCCTTACTCAATTAAAAGTAATTAGTTTTCTCTATGAAATAAATTAAGATAATTATGACCTATCTTTACCGAAATGAATAGATCATTTAGCTATTATCTAATTAGCTCCCTTACTCTTTTCCACATTCAAGATCTTTGCAGAGTTGGAGCTTCCATATTCCTGTGGCATACTGCAGCACACATAAACCCACACTTGTCCATCTCAGGGTTGCCAAGAAGCTGCACAGGGTAGTGCTAAATCAAAGCTCTGCTCGTTAGTAGGATTTGATATTTTGTGTACTGTATTGTGTTTATTACATCTACCTGGATTGCATCAAAGAGTGAGCCAAATAAGCTCGGATTTGATTGCTAAATATTTTAAACACACTTTTAGCAAGAGTTCCTCTCTAACTCTGAAATGCACATTGAAAAATATATCTTGAGGTGTCTTCCTATGGAAAAAAATATCATTTGCAAGATTTACAAATACTGCAGGAAAAAATACATAAATCTAATTACTGATTGGTATACAATAACTTGAAGGACAGAAAGAAACTGAGATCTCTTGAAGTGAGAAAGAGATCTCTTGAGCCACTTCGTCACCTTCCTCCCAGCATTTCAGGAGAGCACTCTCCCTCTTTTCACTTTACCTGCAGCAGAAATTGGATGTAGGGGAAACCAACTTTGGCTGCAACAAGATGAAAAACCACTTTATACACAGCAAAAGACTCTTTCCTATTTCTTCAGTTGACATCAATATTATTAAATCTCTTTTCTTTCATGGAAAAAATCACTACCAAGTGCATAAGTAATAATCTTTAATAAGCCACAGTGCTGGGTAAGGCTTAATATTAACTTATTAACTAATATTAACTAAATATTAACTAATATTAATACTTAATATTAACAGCTGCATTTTGATTTCTTCTCCATCTAATAAGATCCACAGTATTAGCAGACATATTGATATGAGATGATTTTAGAAAGCTTTTCATAAGCCTACTACAATTAAATGCACTTTAAGATGGAAAATCATTTTTTAGCAAATGCTATGTTTAGAAGAAAGTGACTTTGTAGACACATAAATTATCTTGCAGATCTGTTTAGATGCACCACAGAATAGCCATGATTTGTGAGTATCAATGACAAATGCTAATTTTCTTATTTAGCTTACTACAATGATTACATTTACTCTTAATTGAGTATACTCTAAACTGAGAACTGAAGCTTCTGAACAAACAAACCTTACAAGATTTTGAATCAGATTATGCTAGGAGCTTTGACAGAATATTTTGGTAGCATTGTGAATGACACAGTCTTGCTCTAAAATGCATCGAATAACAGTAAAATGGATGTGGATTAAGAGGAAAAAATATAGAGACAAGTCTGTAAACTGTTCTATAAAACATAACCATCTTGCTGATTCCAAAGCACGATAGCTGTTAGTCTTATTTTTAAAGAACAAAGGTGTTGTTGTTGTTTTTTTTCCCCAAGATTCTGTCTCCCTAATCTTGTAGATGTTCTGTTTGTTTCATCTTCAGCAAGAACATCAGTACCTGTCTTGGTTTTGGCCCATACAGAGCCTTTTTCTCCATAATGGCTGGTATGTTGGATTTAGGATGAGAATGTTAATAATACGTTGATGTTTTAGTTGTTTCTGAGCAGTACTTACACTGAGTCAACAATTTTTTAGCTTCCCATACTGCCCTGCCAGTAAGGAGACTGGGGATGCACAAGGAGGTGGGAAAGGACAGAAGCAGGACAGCTGACTCAAATAGGCCAAAGAGAAGTCCTATCATATCCCATATTGTTCATGCTGAACAAAAAACTGGGAGAGCTGTCTGAAGGTGCAGCCCCTCCTCAAGGACTGGCTGAGCATCTTGTCAGTGGCTTGTGAGCAATTGCATTTGCATCATTTGTTCTGTGTTTGTTTGTTGTTGTTATTAGTTTTCCTTCTATTAATCTGTCTTTATGTCAAGTCTTGAGTTCTTCCATTTTTTCGCATGTTCTCTTCCACCCCACTGCAGGGCAGTGAGCAAATAGGTGCGTGGGGCTGAGCTCCCTGCTGGATTAAGCCACAACAGAACCAAAGGCTTAATACTTTATGGGTTTAGTCTTGAAAGAAACAGTGGCCCAGATTTACTCCTATATCTAGCACTGCTTTGTACTGTGTTGCTGTTACCAAATGATACTTGCACCATCACTGTCAGCCACTCCAAGATCAACTAAGAAAAGCATATCTTGGTGCAGATCCTCTAAAGTAGCTACTGCTAATGCTCACTCTTCAACATCTGTACAAAGCAGAATTGACTCGAGCTCTTAATGCTTCAGGTCATGGCCCTTAGCAAGATGTACTTCACATTTAAGATGGGCTGTGGGCCAAGTGCAGTCCTATGCATCTGTCATGGTTTCTAGATGCTCCTAGAAATCCAGCAGCAAGTGGAGTAACAGGTTTTTGTGTGTCCTTTAACTTGAAGAAAGGACCCACCAGCAGCTGCTCCCGAAAGCTTTCTCAGGTAACAAGTGATGGCAGCCTCAAAAGGGCCTTTAGAGATCCATGCAGCAATGACAAAGAAAGGGAGCCTGAGGGAAAAGCCTGGATGACACTTGGAAACACTTACATGATAAGAAACCATGAGAGGAGATGCAAGGTATCTAAGAGTATACTTGAGCCAGAATAATAATTCATACAGGAAAGGTTTGCAAACAGTTGGGTAATTATAAGAGAATAAGAGAATATAAGAGTATATCAGTCTGAGATGTGGAGTGACATCTGCTTCTTTCTTATGTTACACTGACTGCCCAGATCAAGGCTACCAGAGAGGCTGAAAGGGATCCTCCTTCATCACCTTTCCACATGGGCAAAAGTTGCTAAGATGCTCAAGAAAGCTTATCATAAAAGAAAATAGTGAAAGAGGGTAAAAAAAATGGCTTTCCTAGAAGTTTTTGGTTGGTAACCACTGGACTTGTATCTGCTGATCAAAGAAAGAGCAGTAGCAATAAGTGGAATCTGAGCCAGC